CAAGGGCCTCACGCTCCCAGTTACTTCAGCATAAAGCACGCACACAGGGCAAGAGCTCCTGTCTCTGCATAGCTTCTAGGGTAAGGGGGCAAGCAACAGAAAAAGCATTAACAGCAAGATTCTGGCTTGGAAGAGCTCGCTCAAGAATCCAGATTTCTCACTTTTAAGTGAAACCCTCATCTACTGGCTCACAGATTCCTCCCTTCGTCACGGGTGGGCCAACCTGACGCTTCGTCTGATTTCTTTGGGCTATAAAATCAGGAAGGTGCCCAATAGTGGAGAACCTTCAGCCTGACTGAGTGTCCCTGTGATTTATTAAAAAAATGTGGATATTGATCTAGTATCGATATCCAACTGTGACGGACAAAAACTCTCTAACAGTTTAAAGTTAGAAAGTGTATGTTTATTCGACGCCGGGCAGCGTGCGGGATAGCTCCCAAATACACACCGCACATTCCAGGTGATTACAGAGTCTTTTTATCCATACAAGTATTGAATACACAAAATACAAATACATATTCATCATTTTAGTACATCCCATTCCCCGCTTCGTATGCTAATCACTCCAAAAGCTATTAAGCATGCGTGGTTTGTCCCTTGAAATGGGTCGGTGGTCCCTTTCATGGGGAGGGGTCCCAAAATGAGGAAGTAAATGAAGTCTTCCTCGTTCTGACCTTTCTACCTTTTCAATGCAAGTATGACAAATGAACTCTTGGTAGAACTCCCATTCCTTGTCTTCAATTGGTTTCACAACAGAGGAGGCCCACAATTGTCTTATGTTCCTAAAAGCTATTTGTCAGTTTCTATGTTCTTCATTATAAACCCAGCTAACTAAACATTGTGCTGACAAGCAATCAATTATTAGTTAACTACTAACTCCTAACTTCATCAAGGCCTACTCATTTATTATTATTATTTTAATTAACTCTAGTAAGGCTTATTTCTAACTAAAATCTTAGCTCCTCAAAATCTCTAAATGCCTTAAAGTTTACGTTTCACCTGCCTAGACACTGAAAACCTTCCCAGGAAAGATGGGTATCTTCTGATCTTCTGTGAGAGCTCTATATTGCAATGACAGTCTTTTGCCTTTGGTGCATCCCTGAGACGAGTCTATTATTTCAGTGCTCTGCCGCAAAGGACCTGATGACAGCCAGATAAACTCCCTTTCACTCCCAAGCTGAAAAAGCCACTTCTTGCTGCCCCTCCTGTCCTGTGCCATCCTCCAGCCTCCTCTGCGTCTGTGGCTTCCACCAAACTTGCTGCATAGTTTCAATGTCTGTCTTGAGATGCACTGGGGAACACAAACTAAACCTGACATTTGCTGATGCCTAGCTCCAGGAGGTTCTCATCAGCCCATTTCTCTGGCTTGTCAAGGTCCCTCTAAAGACCATCACTCTGCTCCAGTGTATCTGACATTTCCCTCGGTCTAGGAGCATCTGCAAACTTGCTGGGAACACATTCTGATCCATCATACAAATCATTAGTAAAGACATTAAGCACTTTTGGCCACAGTGCCAGTATTTCAGAGGGACATGACTAGTAACCAGTACCGTGCTAGACTTTGTATTGCTTTTCAAAACACTTGGACCCTGAGCTCTTGCCAATTTTCCAAGCATGTTTTAGGCCAATTATCCAGTGCATAGCTTTTCCATGCTCACTTATCAGTTTTTACTGTATTTGAAGTCTAATTGAAAATCTACAGTGCAGGTGGACAGCTTTGACCAGTGGCATATTACAATCAGGTATACGGGTATCTGAACTCACAGTACAAGAAGAAATCTCCTGCCTCTTCCTCAGTAAATACACTTCAGTGTCAGGCTCCTGAATAAGTCCTCAGCAATGAAAATGAAGGGAAAAAAAACAAAGAACAATTTTCAAAAAAAAGTATTGAAGAGAATACTGATTACTTCAATGCATCCCTAATTTGAGCAGTGCCTAACAAAGAGGCCTGATTTGCTCTGAAATCTGTGATTGGAACTCAGATATTTCTAGACAGTACAGCTTGCTGATAATTTTTGGCTTTCTGAAAAGTGATGCATTGAAAGCTTCCCTTTGTATCATTTAATTTCTCCCCTAGCAAGCAGACCATCCTAACTGACCACTGGCCTAAATTCATCTTTATTATGTGATCAGATGCCTTGATTTTAATATCTAGTTTTCTTGAAATTCCCACGTCTCACCCTGTCATTTTAATAAGAGAACTAATGTTTACATTTCAAAATATTTAACAACAGCAGGAAGTGACCCCTTTGTATAAGAAAATGCTGCTTTTCTTTCCTTTTACAAATATCCACATTTTAAACATAAAATGAAAAGCAATTTCTCTCCTTAATTCCAGTTGAGTTCACTAATTCAATTAAATTCATCACTATGCTTGTGTTAACAGTTGCTATCTAAGTAATTACTATTCCAGGGAAAAGTCTCAGTTTAGGAAAGCTCTTCAGTATGTGTTGATTGTTAAACATGTCCTTATACCTACAAATTTTCAAAGCACTGCAGCCTGTACTTTAGCATGTGCTTAAGCATCTTCCTCACTCAGGGTTTTATTCTGGAATTAAAAAAAAAAAAAAAAAAAACAAAACTAACCGAAAAACAAGGCTACATTTGATTTTTGCAGGCATAGTTAACAAGAGCAACCAGAAAGAATGGTTGCATCACATCTGTATAGCAAGAAGCATGGATCATGTAAATGGTTCTTCCTGTGGCTTTTATTGAAATCCCCACATACCTTCACACAGACAGCAAAATTGAAGCAAATACTCAGTACAACTTCCAAGGCTTCAGTACATGCATATTTCATCTCTGGTTCATAAAATCACAGCATAAGCTGAGTTGGAAGGAGCCTATGAGGGCCATCGAGTCCAGCTCCTGGCCATGCACAGAACCATCTCCAGGAGTTACACCGTGTGCCTGAGAGCATTGTCCAAATGCTTCTTGATCTCTGCCAGGCTTGGTGCTGTGATCACTAACCTGGGGAGCTTGTTCAAATAGAAGAACCTTTTTCTAATATCCAACCTAAACCTCCCATGACACAACTTCAGGCTATTCCCTCAGGTCTTGTCACTGGGTGCAGGAGATAAGAGATCAGTATCTGCCCCACCTCTTCCCCTCAAAAGGAATTTGTAACTGCAATGGGGTCTCCCCTCAGGCTCCTCCAGGCTGAACAAACCCAGGGACCTCAGCCACTCCTCACACAGCTTCCCCTCAAGGTGCATCACCATCTTTTTGCTCTCCTTTGGATGATCTCTAAGAGTTGAATGTCTTCCTTATATTGTGGCACCCAAAACTGCCCCCGGCGCTTGAGGTGAAGCCTCCCCATTTCAGAGCAGAGCAGGACAATCCCTTCTCTTGCCCAGCTGGTGATGCTGTGCCTGATGCACCCCAGGACAGAGCTGGTCCTCCTGGCTGATAGGACACTGCTGGCTCATGATCAACTTGCCATCAAGCAGGACCCCCCAGGTCCCTTTCTGTGGCACTGCTTGTTGACAAGGAAGCCACAGCTTTTGTGCCAGCTCTAGTGGTTCAACTCAGCAAGCCTTTTGTTTGATCAGCAATGGTGAGCAGATAACAAGAAGCAGATCCTGACAAAGCTTATTGCATCTTAAGGGTTTTATGAAGAGCTGACAAGGCTTCTGCATAATTAAACAGATTTATGCTTAGAACAACTCTGAAACTTCAAAATGCCGTGTAACTCATGTAAGTGTGTGCTGACAGCATAGCTCAGACAAACTCCAGACAACGACGTGCATCAAACAACTGTTTTACTTCCATTTCTAAGTTTCAGGCCTGCTACACAGAGGAATGTCTGTATTTTACTAGCAGTTCTCTGTAATACATGCCAGCCATGACCAAAGATTGTCCAATCACCCTCACAACAAGCTGTGTCAGCACTGGTAGATTGCAGGACTTGACTTCCATTCCTTCTGCCCTTTTGTAGGATCTACGGACAGCTCATGTAGGGGCAAAACAGAAACAGCAGAAGTTGAGCAGGTGCTGTCTTGCGTCTCTCTGTAAGTTTGCACTTGGTGACAAAGCTTAGGATGCAGCAGCAGCAGCAGTGGGAATTCTCGCCATGCTGTCTACTGACTCAAAAAACTGCCTAGTCCTTATGGACAGCTGCTTTCAGTGGAGGGGGAAATACGCTGTTCCTTAGAGATGCTCAGTATCTGGGAGCACTGAACTATCACCCCATTCAGCATCCTTCAGGCTGAAATTTTTCCATTCTCCCATCAGCAGCCCTAAAGAAGACTAAAGTCCGTAAGGTCTTAATCATTTGTCTCTTTCATTAACCACTATGTACTCATCACTACCTTCATCACACTTACAAAGTGTAGGACCATCAACCTTTCTTCACACCGACCAAAAAAAAAAAAAAAATTTAATTTCAACTATATGTGGTTAACATCAAGCATTTTTGGGATGCAAAAATATCTGAGGCACAGAACTACAGGGTTTTTTGGTTTTTTTTTTCCTCAGATCTTTCATGAGAGCGAAGTGGCCACATCAGTTATTAATTACAGCAAAACCTCGAACAAAAGCAGAGGCTTCCTTAGGTTATAAGAGACAGTGTCCAGAGTGCAACAAACATGTGCCATGCTTTCACTATTTTAGGTGGGAACACAAAATGTATTGTGCATGTAGGTAAAAGCATATATATGTGTGTGTGTGTGTGTGAGAGCCCATGTGTGTGTGCACCCGTGTTTGCATAATAGCCAAGAGAAAAAAGGAGAATCAGCCAGTTTTCCCTAGAGAAATCTAAGTATTCACACAATTTCAAGCCCTCCAAGACCTAGTGCTACAGTGGTGAATCAAGAAACACATGGATTCTGCTTTTCGTACTCTGGCAACAGAATGACATCAGTCCAATGGCTTTTCAGACATTTCAGACGGGTTTCTTTCCCCCTCAGTATTCCATATGACAAGGTGATTTACCAGCCAGTCACAGGTTCTAACTCTAGACTTCTTACCCATCCAAGATTTTGTGTCTTCTTCTTTCTTAGTCTCTAACACAGGATAATTTAAAATCAGGGACAAATTGAGGTATTATGGAAGGGGTTCCCATAGTCAGACAGCAGGATTACAAGGGAGACAACAATGGAAAAGGCATCAGGAGTACAATTTGTTGCTGATGCAGCCTGAAAAGACTTAGATTTTAAATTGCTGAAATGATAATTGTCAAAATAGTTCAACATTTTTTCACATAAAATTTGTCATAATTTTGGGGGATTTTTTCATTCTGGTCCAGAGCAGAAATGTACAAGTTTTTACTGACAATTGTAGCTTGAGTTTTTACAAGCAACTGCATTTACTTTATTACTTTATTACTTATAACTTCATTGCTACTATATTTATTATTTATTTATTACTTTATTCCTATAACCTATTGTACTTTATAATTTATTACTTTATTACTATATTTAGGCTTCTCATTTTACACTATGATTGGGAATGGTCTAGGAATGACATAAAAAAGAAAAAGACAGATACAAAGAATAAAAAGACAAAGAATATCCCTAGAGAACAAAAATCTAACTAAGAGTTTGTCTGAATCAGCTTCTTATGAGAAGTTTACTAAATGTTTTTGTTGTAGTCTGTATTCTTGCTTTTGGAGGATTATTTTGAATGTAGAATTGACTTTGGAATGTTCCATGGAATTTTTTCAAAACATGAATTCCCTGCAATACGCTCTAAGAAAAACACCCAGAAGGCTGAGCTTCATTAGAATTATTCCAAAGGCCCATGCCAAAATATTTGCAGAAACTTAATGTTTTCTGGGATCTCAGTTTGAAGCAAGTAGGGCAGTAACAGGTATAAAACAAATTATGCATGCTCAGCACAGAGCTGCATTTGTAAACTTCTCCAACAGGCTGCATGGATCTGCAAAAACAACAACAAGAATTCTGTTTGAGGGCTGTTTTGTTGGGTGGTATTTGGTTTGGGTTTGTTTGGTTTGGGTTGTGTTGGTTTTGGGTTTTCTCGTTGTTTTTTTTTTGTCCCTGGGATTACATGCATTGGCTATGCCAGAGGCAACGTTAAACTAGTGATGTTCATCTTTGGCAAGTGTTGGTGGCCTAATGGTGCTGTTGTTTGCCACAATAATTCGTTTGCCTCAGCTTTGACATGGCAGCACAGATGGTGATGAGGGCGTTATCAGCAGATAGCAGATGGCACAGCTCAAATGTGTGCAGCCTTAGATCTCCCTCTGGTGGCTTCATCTCAAACCCTTAGGCGACTCCTGCTGCCCCTGAGCTGGGAGAGAAAGCTCAGCCAAGACCATTGCATATTTTCACCAGCACTGAGGAGTGGAACCCTCCCGGGTTAGCATCCCGGGCACCTTGGAAAGTGTTGACACTTGAGAGTTTCGATTGCTTGGAGCGGTGCGTCTCGAGTGAGGTCCCTTGCAGAGCAATCAGCAGTCTCATCCATGTGTACTTCCATATCCCCTCTAAAAATAATCCACTGGACATGAATCCTAGAAGTGTCAGGTTCAAAAAATTGTCAATTTTTGGAGCTCCAATCCAAGTATTTTTGCTTGCCTTGGCAAAGACATCTTATTTGCTTGGTCCATGATGCACAGGCTGTTACTCTAAAGGATTACAGAAGAAAATGCAACATCGAGAGCCATTTCTCCTTAGCATGTTGTGTTTTCCTTTCCCATAGCAAAATGAAAAGCAAATTCATTTTCAAATGTAATATTTTACACTGCTGAAAGAGACAACATGCTAGTATTTTATTCTTTTTCAATAGAGAAGCAAGCACACATTCTGTTTTGATAGCTGCCACAAAACAAAGGCTCATTTTTGAGAATCTAAACTTATCCCCACCTTTCCTGTGTACTGATATCACTGTAAGAATGCAGAAGTGTAGTTATAGAAGTGCAGTTTCCAAAGTATCTGTTCTGGTTTTGAAGTTTTGCAGCACTTTGGACCTGCTTATCACTTTTCAAAGGGACTGATGTAGAGCAGGCAAAAATGGAAACTCCTGCTCATTTCAAGTCCAAATGTGAATATGATACCATGGTAGACCACAGTCTTCCAAAAGTGCTCTTCAGGTTGAGGCATATATTGCAATGGCACAAAAAAAAAAAAAAAGTTTTCTTGTTAATTTTGCTGGAGGTGGAAATCCATAAATCCATAAACCAAACAATAGACAAGAGTCTTCTCAAATTGTGACAACACTAAATGTTCTCTTCTCCCCATGCAACTCAGTTCAGCAACAGCTTATCCCCTTGTTTATTTTCCTACAGAAGAAGGAAAAAAGCAGTTTCACACCTTTAACACATACACAGGAGTTGCTCATATATATTTTTAGCACTGAATTCAACTTAGAAAAGATGGGTGTCTCCTCGAAATAAACCCCAAAAGATCCCTGAACCTCCACCAAACAAACAAACCAAAAAAACCACCAGAAAAACTCCCTCCAACAAGCACCTCTCATTGAGATGCTTCAGCAAGAGGAGAAACAGAAAAAAAGAAACTTTTGTGAAGAAAAAAGAGTCATTTTCTACTATTTTCATCAAAGGCAAACTTCTAATGACTTGGCAACAGTAAGAGGAGACAAGAAGCAAAGCTGACCTGCTGTGTGCAACTGAGGGAGCAATTGGACCTGTCATGTTTGTTCCTTTTGTTGACTACAAAATAGTTAGGGGAAGCAAACCCACTATCTTTTTGCTTGAATATGATACTTATAGTAAATATAAGTTAATTCCTCAAAGTTTGTTCCTGGTACTTTTTTTTTTTTTTTTTCCCTAAAGCCTTCTTGTCAAGTAAACTCTGTGTGGCTTTCCATCCCTGGAGATTTGGATTCACTGCCTTCCAGCATGCATGTTTGACTATATAATGGTTTCTCTGCTTTGAAGCAGAGAAATGCACCCATGCTTCTAGCCTTTATGTTGTAATATCACTCTTTTTCCCCCACAGAAAGCATCTAAATATAAATAAGAGTGCAAATATCTGGAAAACAAAAAAAGAAATAATTTTCAGTTACATTAAAATCCCTTGATACAGGGAAAATGCAGAAACATTCTTTTGTTTCTGTCACTTTCTTTGAAACTAAAACATTGGTTTATAATGGGACTGAGAGTGCTTTATACAACAGGAGTTAAATTCACAGCTGGACAGGGTTCTTGCATGCATCAGCAAAGACTTGCATCAGGCCCCTAAGGACTTCAATGGAACTGAGTTAGAATGCTCCCATGATTCTATGCAGAGCCTTTAATCTCATACAATGCTTGAGAAAACTGCATTATATTCTTGAAAAAAAAAATATTATACACTAGTCAAAGATGTGTGTTGTCTGAAATTATCATGCCTGTCTGGTTCTATTTTGGTATCACTTGCCTAAGTTCAGAGAGCACATGACTTTGTCATTCTGTCTTTCTGCCTCCTTAGAGGCTCAACTGAAAGATTAGTCTCAGCTAATCTTGACCTATACAAGCAGAATTGTAAGGGAAACAGCACAATATTTTTTGCACTTTTAATAATAAAAAAGTGCAAACACTTCATATTTGTACATATTATTATTATTTTCTAATTTAGAAGACAAAATGTGCTTCTCAAACAGAAGAATTCTTGTTTAAGGATAAAAAACAGTAAAGCAGGATGATCAGCCTACCAGTATACAAAAGTGGCATTTGAGCAAAATTTAACATCATTTGTACTATATAATGAAATTACACATCCATTTATATACCCTTTCTTTTGCTTTAGCAGGCTAACTAGCTAAAGGGCCAGGTGCTAGCAAAACTGGTGTCTGCTTAACAACAGTCCACATGAGCAGGAAATAAGTAGGAATGTTGTGTTTCTCTAGCAGATCCCAGTCTAGCATGGTATCTGTTGGTGTACTTCAAAGCCAAACACAATCCTGCTGAAGTAAAAAAGGTACAGAGTTAAATGCATTAACTGCTTTACCGAGCCTGGAAGAGACAAACTGGGCAACTGCCACAGAGAACTTGCTGGTATGTAAAACTCTCTCTTGGTCTTAGCACTAGCCTGGAACAGAGGTGAATCACTGCCTTCTTCATAACCTCCCCTATTTTCCCATGGTTGTCCCAAGGATTTCAGTGGAGGACTGTGGGGAACAGCACTGAACTACAGGTTCCAAGCCATGTACTCCTGTAACAAGATAGCTCATGCTACTAAGAAGTGAGACAAGAGCTGAGGACAGGACCTGGGACAAGCAGGTGAATACTGCTGCTTGTTTGTTTGTTTGTTTGTTTGTTTGTTTGTTTGTTTGTTTTTCAAATGAGGAAGCTCTATTAAAAAGGGGCAGTTTCTAGGGAAAGGTGAGATGAGTGGATAAGGAAATACGTATCTCCATGCTCTTAAAAAACTGTTCTTTCATAGTATATAGTAGAAGGAAAACCGTGCAGGGCTGTAAAACTTCCTTGGCACCAAGCCTAAAAAGTTGTGGTTTTGTGTGAAGACAGGTCAGTTTGTTCCACCTGCTGGACTTACAGTTCCACCACCTTGGACTTAGAGCTCTGCCTTACCGCAAATCTACCCCACAGTGATCTTCACCAGTTTAAGACTACCCATGCTGCATGCTCTGAACTAGCAGCAAGGGGTAGTTTGACTCCTCTGTGTACTGGAGTGGAGTTAGTTTTCTTCATAGCAGCCCAAATGATGCTGTGTTTTACATTTGTGTTGAAAATAGTTAATTACAAAAGCCACAATGGTTTAGCTGGATAATGCTTGCTCATCATCTGTTTCTCACTCTGTTTTCTCCCAGGGCATAGTCTAGGATGGGGAGAGCTGGGACAGCTGACCTGGAGACAGACTTCATAATACACAGCATCATGCTCTGCAAGAAAACCAGGGGAGGCGAGTCTTGTTGTAAGTAGCCGCTCTTGGAGGTAGGCTGGACACCACTTTGCTGCTGGGCAGGTGTGGAATTGCTTTTACATCACTTGTTTTCTTCCATAATTTTCCTCTTTACTCATTAACCTGTCTTCACTTTGACCCGTAACTGCTTTTTTGGTTTGTTTTGGGTTCCACCTTTTTCCTCCATCCCATTGGGAGGTTGCAGTGAGAAGTGACTGGAAGGGAGCTTAGCTGCTGCCCAGGATCAACCCACCAAACCAAAAAAGCAGTCAGTGTTGGCTGTTGGGTGAGTTTGCCAGCAGCAGAATGCCTCTTGCAGAGAGAGCAATTAACAGCTGTGCCTCAGCCATCTCTGTGGAAGCAGAGCAGGAGGATGGAAGTGTGCAGCACAAAGACTTGAGCTGCTCAAACCTGGGACACAAGAGGACATCTGGGTAAGGACAGAGAGCAGCAATTCCTCACCTCTTAGTAATTCACCAAGAGTTGTCATGTAAGTGTAGGTCTGGTATAGTATGTGACGTTTCACATACGTGCTGAAAAGCCAGACTGTGAGCCAGCTACCTAAAGCTCTGCTGACATCTGGTGCTGAGCAGAAAATGAGTTTTGCAATAAGGTCCTCCACTTCGCAACACTATCTTATGGGACAGCAGTTGCATTGTTCATCCTGTCTCCCAAAACACAGCCTGCTTAGCATACTCACATGTCTAGGGAGTCTCAGTTCTCAGACAAAGCCTCTTTAGGAATATTTGAAATTAACAATGAAGTAAAAACTGAAAACTCCATATTAATTAGTGGGAACATCACATTTTTGTCAAGATTTTAATCCCTCATGGAGTATAGAGCTGAGTTTTTAATCAATGGTTACCTTAATTGTAATAGATTTTGTGTCTTGCAATTTACTTCTTGATAGAATTGATTAAAACAAAAAAATTTTAGGCATTTTTTCAAAATCTGGTGTACTTCCACAAAAATAAGAGATATTTGAGAGAAATGCTTTATATTTTCAGAGTCATAGAGCCATCATCTCCAACAACTAGAGTTGGGTAAGGGTTTCTAGGTAATGATTTTTTGCAAAAAAAAGACATCAAGTATTTTAATTTTGCTAGTGAGTTAAACAGAAATCATATTTCTGTTTCAATTTTGCTGCTCTGCCCATTTCTGTATGTATCAATATATCAATTGCCAGGAATAAACCTCAAAATCAATTATAAATTAAAATCAATTTTTTAAACATTCCAGTTTTGTGAGAGAATTTCAAACAAAACTATTTCTAAAGATGTTTTTGTTTGTACTGCTCCTGTAAATTTTCAGGGGGCGTGTTAGCAAAAAAACATTGTTAGTTATCAAAAAACATTGCTGGAATGTTTCCATGCTCTCAGAAAACTGTCATTTTTTTTTTCCCTTTCTGAGAAAAAGAAAGGGTGAGCTGTCTGCTTTCAGGACATTGAAGCCTAATGTGTTACAAAACCACTCAGGATGAAATAATAAAAATTGATATGAAAAAATCTGAAAAAAAAAACTAGCCATTTCCATGTAGAAAAACTGTGCCGCATAATACAAACATGTTAAATGGACTGGATAGATAAAATATATCTGAATTTTTAAGTGCTTGTGAGAGCCTTCCATGGAAAATCTTTCAGGAAGATGCATAGGCATAGAAAGGAAAAGGGAAGTGCTATGACAAATAAAACTAGCTAGGAAAAGCCATGAGATTGAACATCCAGCCCTCAACATGGCAAAGCATATCATATATTCAGACCTGTTCTTCAACATAAAGAAGTTAATTAGGTCATGATAGGCTGAATTAAATCTGAATTATTGCTTTGAAGTGCAATTCAACTATTAGAACATGAAAGAGAAAGTATTCTCCCCTAAAGTATATGGCTATTGCTTTAGCTAAAAAAATGAGCTTCAAGACAACTTTCAAATAAACCCAGAATTTGATTTATTAAGCCTAATCTTACAAATGGATCTTTTCACCTTGTGCCCAGTTTTTATCACCACTTAGCTCAAATAGTGGAATAATCCAGGCTCCTCCCATATACTCAAATTCACTGAAGTCTTGTTCTCAGGCTACTATTGAAGAACTCCCCTGATTTCTCAAAGTTTGTGACTGAAAGGCTTCTTCATTGCAGAAATAGATGCAAAATGTTCTGGCAACTTCATAATTACCTGTTCTTTCAAAATGCTTGTCTTGCTGCCGTGTCCCTCTGCCTGTCTGCAGTATGGGCTGTGGTCTTCCACAGGCACAGCTGACTTTCCTTCTAGGAAAAAAGAAATCTATATCAGCTAACAGAGAGGGCTCTGCAGCACAGCCCCAGGCTGTACCCACAAGGTCAGAAAACCACCACTTAAGTTCTTTGGGCACTTTCCTAAGTAGAAAAAATTTAGGGATATCACTGTCTGCAATGAAGTATTGTTGCCAAAGTGGTCATTCTTTCCAACCATTTCAAGACAAACATAAAGGACTGCATCTGTTCACAAAGGAGGAGAAAAGTGGATTAGATTGTTGAAGAGTAGAATTAAGAACTAGGAAAAAGTGTCACTGGGATCAGAGAGCAGCTCCAGACCCTGACTTTTGGCCAGATGTACATGCAGCATCTGTTCTGGGTGAACCTGTAAAGAAGAAAATTTCCACTTGTATGAAGTGTTAAGTGTATGGAAATTTGGTGTAATGTATCTGAGGAGGTGAGATCAAAAATGTTACCCATTCCAAACAGAAAAATTTCAATGTATTACAAAAAAAATGTGAAGGCAGAAGAACAGACCCTTGATTACAACTTTGGTACTACTATAAAATATAAGCTACATTTGAAAAGCAGATATGAGGGAAAGCTAATACAATGGTAATGCTTTTAAAATTACATTAAGAGATATAAGAATTTATCCATATCAATTTTCTTAAAATAAAATCTACAGTAAAGGAAGAAGGCAACATTTTAGTAACAGAGGGATCTATTTCCGCTACGACACTTGCCTTCACAATTGCAAATTAGTTGTTTGTGTGGAAATAGTAGTTTAGAAGAACAGTTTGGTTTTGCAATAACCCCCATGATTATGATGAAAGCCCGCATTTTCACATCTTTCTTCTGTCACTGAAAAAACAAGTTTGTTTTCATATAGTGAGAATGCTCCAGCAAGCTCCAGAATTTGCTAGTATTGTTGGCATGTATAAATAGAGCATTTTTAATGTGCCACAGGGAATCTGCAGCTGCTTGCTGAATACAGACAGAAAGCAAATGTTTTGCTCTTGTTACAGATCTGCTTGCTTGTCCTCCAAGCTTCTCTGCTCTGAATGAATTTCATTGGAGCCAAGCCCTCACTAGGTGCATTATGTTTGCATAATAGGGGGTATTTTCTGAAGCTGCTTCACGTTAATGACTGCCCTGAGGCTGAGTGAGAAAGGCAGGTACCTTCCACCTTGTGCACAGTGGTTCATTTTGCAAACAGTCCTTCAAAAACACAGCTTTGACTTACCTGGTGGAAGAATGTGTCCAGTTCCCTTGAACCGTATTTAAACTTTGCAAATTGTCTCTTTATTCACATACCACATGAACTGCTAAAAAGAAATTACTTCATTTTACTCCTCCAGCTTTGATTGATAAAGATCCAATTTTCCTTTGCATTGTGATTCTGTCTCTTCACACTACTGTCTCCTTGACTGGTAAAAGAGGACTTAAGAATTACACCCTAAATGGCTTGCTTCAGACATGAGTCATTGCTTCATTGTTGCATGAATACACCTGTTCTTAGACTTAAAATAGCAAAGAGGACAAGTTGCTTGAGTCACCATGCCTTAAATTGTCTGAAATTGAAGATTAACAAGAATAAAGCAATATATTGCATTTCAACAAGGCAAAAAGTGAATTATTTTTAGATGTCTGTAGTTGATATTAGGAAGTATTTTATCAGCTGTACTTTTGCTAAGGAACAACTGGTGGGAAACATGTCCCAGTTTTACATTTTGTCTGAAGATTATGCTGTAAAACAAAAACATATGTATATATCCTTTAGATGATAAGTTAATTCAGAGGATTATGCATGGTCAGTAAAATGCAAGAAAGATACATTACTCCAAAGCCTATCAGAGCATCAATAAGCTGCTCCCATAAACTTCTTAACTTGATCAGACAAAACATAACTGTATATAAAAAATCATAGAATGGCTGAGGTTAAGAGAGATATCTGGAGGTCACCTGGTCCAACATCTCTTCTCTATGTCCAGATGTCTTTAAAATTTCTCCAAGCAAGGAAAGTTCACAATCAACTCATTAACATCCATTGCTGCAAGGGAACATGGCTATTTAATCATCAACATGGAGTACGCCAGAACAATTTCCAAAAGGCTTATATTTCCGAAAGAAATCCATACAGCAGTGGGGAAGATGTTGGAAGATTCTTTTAACTTTAGCAATGTAGTGTATTTTGTGTAGATTTTGCACTGTAGTATATTTTTTGTAATTAGTGTAGATTTCTGGTCAATTATTAGATTTGTCCCCTACACCTGTGACTAGTAAGTAATTTTCCAGCTAAAGTTTCCTTACTTACTTGTATTAGTGATTAATATGTACTAGCTGATGTCTTAATTTTGAGAACAAGGATTGCATGTCAGAGCAAAGAATGATCAGAGAAGTAAATTATTACTTGATGACATATTTGAGATGGTCACAAGGAGAAAAGATTCATCAGAAGATCTGGAACCATATTCAAATAAGTCTGTGGAAATATTTAGCATATATGCATGTATCCAAAAATATGATAAATATGTACTGGTTTCAGGAATATAACCTGGTCTGATAGCTTCCTTAGCATGCATATTTTGAAGAAGATTCCAGCAGTGAATATTGCATCCAGCAGTGCTAGTAAGTAGTGTTGGCATTCTAATCTAATAAATTTGTTTGAGAGTTTATTTTCCGGTTTTCAGTGACAATACCTGAATCTTTTTACTCTAGGGTATATTCTGTCTGAGTGGACCTCAGCTTGTGCTGGTTCCTGGGGTTCTTCCTTCACAGGTGCAGAACTTTGTCCTTCCTTGCTTTGAACTACACGAGGCTCCTCATGAAGCCATTTCTTCAACTTGTCATGAAACGTAAACTTTAAGGCATTTAGAGATTCTTGAAGAGCTAAGATTTTAGTTAGAAATAAGCCTTACTGGAGTTAATTAAAATAATAATAAATGAGTAGGCCTTGATGAGGTTAGGAGTTAGTAGTTAACTAATAACTGATTGCTTGTCAGCACAATGTTTAGTTAGCTGGGTTTATAATGAAGAATATAGAAACTGATAAATAGCTTTTAGGAACATAAGACAATTGTGGGCCTCCTCTGTTCCAAAACCAATTGAAGACAAGGAATGGGAGTTCTACCAAGAGTTCATTTGTCATATTTGCATTGAAAAGGTAGAAAGATCAGAACGAGGAAGACTTCATTTATTTCCTCATTTTGGGACCCCTCCCCATGAAAGGGACCACTGACCCATTTCAAGGGACAAACTACGCATGCTTAATAGCTTTTGGAGTGATTAGCATACGAAATGGGGAATGGGATGTACTAAAATGATGAATATGTATTTGTATTTTGTGTATTCAATACTTGTATGGATAAAAAGACTCTGTAATCACCTGGAAGGTGCGGTGTGTATTTGGGAGCTATCCCGCACGCTGCCCGGCGTCGAATAAACACACACTTTCTAACTTTAAACTGTTAGAGAGTTTTTGTCCGTCACAGTTGGATATCGATACTAGATCAATATCCATATTTTTTTAATAAATCAGTCAGGGACCCTCAGGAAGGCCCCACACCCCTTTGGTATATCAGCTGCCCTCCCAGTTTTGAACCATCACCAAACTTGCTGAAGGTGCACTCTGCCCCAGCATGCAGACCGTATGAAAATGGACAGGACTGCTCCCAGACTTGACCTCTGGGATGAAGCATTAGTTATTGGCCTCCAACTAGACCCTGTGTGACTGACCACTGACCTCTGAGCCTGCCTATTCAGTCTCAGACCCAATGAGGTTGGCTCATCCATTTATGAGCTTCTCTGTGAAGATGTTACAGGAGAACGTGATGGAAACATTACTGAAGACAAGGTAGAAAACAACAACTGCCCTTCCCTCGTCTACTAAGTCAGTCAATTTGTTGTGGAAGGTACCAGATCAGTAAAGATTACTTGGTGAATCCATGCTGACCACGCACAACACTTTATATTCAAACTAGTAATATGGCCTATAGAATATTATTAAAACCTTATTGTTCTTTTCTTCTTTTTTAGTAGTACTGTTGCAAATTGTGTGTTCAGTTGCAATTGATAAAATCTTTTGATATTATAACAGAAAACTGATCTAGGATGGGCTCAAATCAAAGTATGGGATGTCACTAGCACTGTCCAGTCCCTCTTATCTAATAAGATACAGCAGTTTCTATCACATCATGGAAAGCATGCACTTCTGCATGCACTTTGAAGTGTTTAAAGATCCTCTTGATCTGGCAGGAATTTTCATATGCTCATGCTGAACTTTTCTTGGAGTTTGGGATTTTTCAGTCATGTTTCTCATGCTAATTTCAAAGAAGTCTGGAAAATGAGCAGCAAAACTCCAGCTCTTTGCTTCTGTGTGTGGAAGGTGTTGTGCTGCCAATAACAAACACATATTTTAAGCTATCTTGGGCACAGCCCAATCCTTTGTGACCCTTTTAGTTGAATTTTTGAGCTATGTATTAATATCTTCCTATTTTCTCCCAAACTGACATGTTACCTGAAAAAAGTTCACTGTACAGGCATGAAGCTCCTTGCCTATGCCTCAACTGCCACTGAGAAAAATTCCAACTATTTTGCTCAAAAGCATTCACATATATCTGGACTACTAAAAAGAATAGCTTGAGCCTTGTTTGCTTTGCTTTTATAAACACAGTACAAAATACTATTTTTGTGGGGTTTTTTTATTCCTTTGGGCATCCATATGAGGCCTGCATTAAACCCTTGCACAACCTTAAGCCAGTGTGGTCTTTTTATGCAGTAGAGATTCAGCACTTTTCTCCATTAAGTTGTAAAATTGAGTAAGACTGGGTGCAAGCCAGCATGCTGAAGACCCAAAATTTTGTTTCTCTCTCAGCCACCATTAGAAGTTTCCCCTTGAGTCGGCACCTTTACTGTGTCTAGGCTTCTTGGCACCAGAATGGCTTAGCACAGTGTGGCTGTAACTCAGAAGGGAACTCCATGCACTGTTATAAATTTCTACACACATTCTGGAATTTTTTATTCCAGGGTCA